TGTGTTTTGGCATTCCCCCTCCCCCCCCTTATTGAGATTAGTAATATTTTCTTACTCATATCAGTAGACCATAACATCTTATCAGCTCAGGAATTCTGATCTGTGATGCAGTTTCCAGGTGCCAGGAAAACAGGAAGAATGCAATCAGATACTTGTTTTGTGCTAATATAGAAGAAAAGTGGAGAGCTGGCTGAAGTTTAGAAAAATCACTTCTTGTGGACTTGGGACTATTATCTGAAACTGGTTTAACGATTAACACTAAATGCAAGGAATTAGGGAGTATGAAGTAGCCTAGGATGTTGACTCAATACTGTCTAAAAGAATTACCAATTTAGTCTCCTTTGTTACAGAAGTTGAACAAAATGTAGGTGACTTGCATAGAATATGAGTCTCCCTTGATTGTGGGTTGATAACATGCCAAGATGAAGTCATAGAAATTCACAGTGGAATTAATTTCAATACAGGTAAAAACTGACCTCATTTCTGCGTTGCTGTATGTTTTGTTGTACTTGAATGCAGCCAGTGTTCCAAAGAAGATGATACCAAAACGTGGTTCAGAAATAGGTCCTGTCTGATGGAAGGCTGTCGCCAGCAGGTCGAGGGAGGTGATTCTGCCCCTCTACTCTGCTCTCATGAGACCGCACCTGGAATACCGCGTTCAGCTCTGGAGTCCCCAACACAAGAAGGACATGGAGCTGCTGGAGCAGGTCCAGAGGAGGCCACGAAGATGATCCAAGGGCTGGAGCACTGCTGCTGTGGAGACAGGCTGAGAGAGTTGAGTCTGTTCAGCCTGGAGAAGAGATGGCTCCGGGGTGATCTTATTGCAGCCTTCCAGTACTTGAAGGGGGCCTACAGGAAAGCTGGAGAGGGGGTTTGGACAAGGGCATGTAGTGACAGGACAAGGGGCAATGGCTTTAAACTGAAAGAGGGGAGATTTAGATTGGATATAAGGAAGAAATTTTTCACTCAGAGGGTGGTGAGGCACTGGCACAGGTTGCCCAGAGAAGTTGTGGCTGTCCCATCCCTGGAAGTGTTCAAGGCCAGGCTGGATGAGGCTTTGGGCATTCTGGTGTAGTGGAAGGTGTCCCTGCCCATGGCAGGGGGTTGGAACTGGGTGGTCTTTGAGGTCCCTTCCAACCCAAACTATTCTATGATTTTCAACTGAGCAACGTTACTTCTGCTCACCCGGGTCTTTTGAACACTGCACATACGAGGTGCTTATTTACTTGTCGTTGTTACGTTCCCATCATCTCTGGTCTCTTAACATTTTCAGAAGGACGTTAGCGGATGTATTTGGCGAAGTGAAGCACTCAGGCTTAAACAAAACTTGGCTCCCAGATGGAGAGTTTGAAGACCTTTTGTTGCCTAAATTTCAGCTTTCACCCCTGAGCTGTTGTCTTTTGAAACTTACTGTCACTTGCACCAGTAGATAAAGTTGTTCTCATTCCCGCATGATCTTCTCTGATGCCTCATTTTTGCTCCAGGCTGATATCTCATTTTCCATTTAAAAATAAAGCTATCTTTTGACTTTCTCTTGCCTGTGTTGCAATTGTTTAGAATTTTGTGTATGAAGGGGTACAAGGAAATCTGACTTTAAAATAGTGGTAGCCTGCTGTCAGCATAGGAGGTTATAAAAACAAAGAAGGATGTTACATTCCAAGAGGCCTTTTCGTTCTTAAGTTACTTTGCCTGTGATCCACAAGTAGGTATTTTGAATTCCTGAAATAGAAAACTAGATTGATCAAACTTAATAAAATGACATTATGATTCTTATAAATTTCTTCTGGTTCTTCCCTATGAAAGAAAAAAGTATATTTCTACCGAGTGTATATTTTATTTTTCCAGTGTAATCAATTCTGTACAGGTATTAAGATTAAACAGAATTAAAATAGTGATTTTACCCCTCAAACCTCTTCCTGAGACAGGTAGTAAGTAGTAGTGTTAGGAAAAGCAGACACTGGAAGGAAGGAGTAGAGCCGTGCTAGTAGGAGCCTTTAAAAGTGATGTTTGTTGTGAGGAATGTGGGATGTTGTGGCAGAGTTGGCAGTGGGTTAATCTGAAACATCTAGGCATCATTTCTTGGGTAGTAGTTCCCAAACTTTTTATGAATTTGAGGCCTGTTTCTGCTAGTTTTGTGATCTGAAATACTAACGCAAATGATGACGTTTGTTACACATTCTCATGCTTTACTGTCGTAGTGGTTTTTGTTGAATTTTCTGGTGAGGTGTTTCGGTTTAGGGTAGTTGTTTTTTTTTTTAAAAAAAAGTTTTAGCCTGTTGCTAACAATGAGGTGAAATTTGTGTTGCTCCCCCTCCCTCCCAAAAAAAACCCCATGCTTTGAGGGAGGAAGTTTTGTGTGGGCTGTGTCCTTTTGGTGCAGTGTGACTTCAGTTAGTGCTAGTGACTTGTGCTTTGGAAGAATTTCCGTCAGTCAGACCATCTCGTCAGTGATTCCAGGATTGGGGACCCCCTGCCCAGCACCTCCCTGGCCGTGCAGACCGGCTCCACCGGCACGGTGGCTCACCAGAGTGACCTGCGAGAGAGCGTTTTGTGCTTTGCCCTAAAGAAAACATTCTTTTTCACCTCAAGATGACCAGAATAAGAAAGTTAAGGATATTTCAAGGGAAAAAGTTAAGTTTTACTAATTTGAAACAATTAACTTAAACTTTCCTAGCCGACTCTTTTCCTAGGATCCTGAAACTGAGCAGCTGTGGTTTGGCTTTCCTGAGAAACTCCTGCCCTTCCTTTGTGCTGTAACCAGGCCTGTAGGGCCGCCGTGTCACGGTGCTTGAGGTAATTTGTCCAAACCCTATTGCAGCCTTTTTAATGACATGGAAAGTGTTGGCATTTATACAACTGCATTGTTCACACAAGTGTGCTGGAGAGAGAAGGTTTTCTCGAGAGTCCTTAATCAGGCACTGGACAATTATGGCTTTTACTCTGCCAATGTTTCTGTTAAACTTTCTGATTCTTTACACCAGAAACTCATTCTGCTCTGCACAAGTGGTTTGTATAAGATGGTCTCTTGTTGGTTTCGATCTTGACATCTATGCTTCATCACTCATGCCTGTAGATCCAGAAAGCTGAGGAAGTAAAGGAATCCTCTGAGCACAACGTATGCCTACCCATTCCGATGGTGGGTTGAAAGTATTAGTGCTCACAGAGTCCTGTTTATTTAATATTCTGCCATTCTTCTATTATTTGGAGTGGAGAGGGGCTATTTGTGCATTTTTAAAAAATATACATGGAGAACAATATTTGATTTTGTGTTTTGAGACCAATACTTTGTATTTTCAACAATTCTTTGTTGAAAACTGCATATCTGGTAGTGCAATAGATAATGAAGTAAATATTGTATAACTTTAATACTCTGTAGCTTGTGGTTTCCTCCCCCTCCCACAATTGCACAGTGTTTTGTTATTGATCTCACTGTAGCTAAGATTTTTATCACCTTTTGTGATATTCTGCTGAAAGAGTTTGTCCTCCAGGCACCAGGGTGGAAATTCTGGTGTTCGGACGTTACAAGAGGTAACACAAGTAGTCCCAGTCCATATCCTCTTCCTCAAACTGATTGTGGTCCAAACAGACAAAACAAAAGAACGAAGCGTATAAGCAACATGACAGCCAACAGACGTGATGCAAACTTGTTTAAAGTAATTATTCTCTTTAATTACATAACAGGAGAAGTAACAAGCAATTTGACGTCATCATTGAAAAAGTGATTTCGAAAGAGGAGGATTAAAAAGGGGCACACAGGACTAAAGGAGAGAGGTGCAGGTTGTGAGAGGGGTAGAGGCTGTGAAGGGCAGATGAGATGTGGTTAGGAGGAAACCTCACCAAGTTGCCAACCTGATGAAACCCCACCACGAGCACTGGCCCACTAACTAGGAGACACAAA